AAGAAAAAAAAAACTAAAGCATTTATAACTCATGCATTCACCATATTTTTTTATTCTTTCATGCAACATCATTTCCCATTTTTCCACAGGGATTGACATTGCCAAAGTTACAAAGTATTAACTTATTCCTATGCCTTGAAATATATATAACAGTGCCTTTATCAAGATTTGTTCTTTCTGCAGCTTTACAGCATTTTGACTTTACATGATTATAGTATTTACAGTAACTTGTTATTCCACCACATTAATTTTATTATTTAACATTTGTCTGTAAAATTCATTATTTAATTCTTAATTTCTCTTTTATGCAGAAGTACCTACCTCCTGACACTATAGAATCTGGCATCCACCCCGTCTATTTTTGCAGCACTCACTATATCGAAATGCTACTCAAAGCAGAGGTGCCACTTGTGTTTTCAGCTTTTCATATGTCTGGTTTTGCACCATCACAGGTAATCCATAGAGTATAGCACTTTTTCGATTCCCAAATCTCAATGTCTTTAAGGAAAATGCATTCTCATCAAATACAAGAATTACATTTAAACTAATATAAGTATTTTTTTAAATCCCTGAACTGATCTTTTTCCTCCAGGTCTGGTATAATAAATTCATGCTTTATAGTAAGTAGATCACTGGCATTTTGAGAGTTCAGTTTCATCTACTCAGGGCATTGACTTCTGAGTGTCTGTGACAGGCAGGATTTTTAATGGCTGTAACAATTTTTTCTTCATAAGGATAATGTAAAGAGTATGGCAACAGAGGAAAAGAATTCTTATCAACGCTGTCTGGTGTGTAAGATACATGTCTTATATAAGAAAAACATCTAGCTGATTAACTTGCACCTCAGCTTTAGTTCCTGCCATTGGGATCTAGGAAGTTTTAATGATTTTTAAAACCTAGAGTAGTGTAGTGCCCAACCTGTGTGACCACAGCCAGTAGTAGCCACAGATGTCTCCCTGCTGTGTACAGCCAGTCCTTCATTGGTGGAGGTATGGATTCTTTCTTTATTATGTTGTAATCAGGCCAGCACTAATATTTTAGAGTCTAAAGCTTTTTGCATTTTTTGAATTAAATCTTTCAGTCTAAACCCAGAATAGGAATACTTAATCAAAAGATATGAACCCTTAAGTCTCTTGGCTCCTATTATCAAGTTGCTTTGATTTTATTCTCCTAACACAGATGGAACAAGTACTTGTCCTTCAGTTCTGGCTATTTGGCTTTTTAAAAACTAATCACCAATTGAATACTTTTTAACATTTACATTTCTTTGAATATGAGCAAGTTTGATTAAATGTTGATTTTTTTTAATATAATAATATTACTAATTTCCCACCTGTCTTAGTATCTTATTGATTCATATATACACTCTTTAAAATAGAATGTAATCGCCACATCTCTTCCATTTCTGAATTACATATATTTTAGTTATTGAAAATACATACATCTTAATCTTAAGTAGGAATAAGCCTATCATTTTTTTAACCTTCCCTCAAAAAAGTTAATTCAGCTACTATGTCTCCCTTTAGATTCTTTTACATGTAGTTTAAGATAATTTTGCACAGTTCAAATTGGACATTAAAATTTGCATATACTTTAGATTGCTATTATGTTAAATTATAAATTATTTTGAGAAAAATTATGTTCTTACTATACTCAGTCTTTCTATTTAGGAATATGGTATTTAAAGTTTAGGAACATGGTATATAAGTTTGTTATTTTTTTGCTTTGTATTATATTTTACAAAAGTCATGTAATTTCTTCCACATAGATATGGTACATTTATCATTACAGATATTGCTACTTAGAGTAGTTTGACATGTGTATTGCATTTTTATTTTCTGTTGAGTTATTGCTAATAATAAAGTCATTATCTTTTTTATATCCATGAAGTTACATGTTATTTCTAGATTTGTGTTCATATTCTTTTTCTCCAACTTTGTAATAATAATGTATTTTATTTCATCTTCATATTTATTAATTAGTTCTTCTAATATAACTCTGAGTCATAATTATGTATAGTTTTTTTTGGGGGGGAGAGGTTTTTGCTATAGGGCGCATGCGTTCACCAGAAAGACAGAGAGAGAGAGAGAGAGAGAGCAAGAAGTTACCCCCCGGCTCCAGGGTGGATGGCCACGCTGCAATCCCTTCTCCATTCTCCTCTCAGGATCTTGGGTGCACACATACCTGTGCCCAGCGTGAATTTTAAGTCACCGGATCCGGGACTTAAAATCATGGTCGACTACATGGGAGTCCAGCGACATAGCCATTATGCCAACTGCTGGTCCCATTATGTATATGTTTTAGACTTTTATTATTGAAAATTCATACAGAATTTTACCACTAAGTAGTAACTGTTTATTGGTAAGGGCTATTTCATGTCATTATTATGGAACAACCCTTCTAGTCTTGTTTGTAAAGTGTTGGTAAAATCATGGTCTACTACATGGGAGTCCAGCGACATAGCCATTATGCCAACTGCTGGTCCCATTATGTATATGTTTTAGACTTTTATTATTGAAAATTCATACAGAATTTTACCACTAAGTAGTAACTGTTTATTGGTAAGGGCTATTTCATGTCATTATTATGGAACAACCCTTCTAGTCTTGTTTGTAAAGTGTTGGGTTTTGTTTCCTTACTTTTAATCACATTAGAATGTTGAATTTTGTCAGTTCTTTCATGGACAAGGTTATCTTGATCTTGGGGATGGTTTGACTCATTTATGTGACCACATTGATAGGTTTCTTTTTAGCAAACTGTGTGCATTCTCATGGGTTTACCCACTAGAAACCTTTTTCTCTTAATTAGACAATACCTCTTCTTGACATTATGGTATTATATTCTTATACTGATTTTGGAAAGACTTTTTATCATTTATTACATGAGGTTATTCTGCCTGATTTAAATTTCCTGAAGTTAGTAAGAAATTTAAATATAGCAAGGATTTACACAGTAGAAAAGAATATACTTCCTCAATCAATTTTAGGTTTTACTGTACGTATTAATACTTAAAACACTTACAGGAACTTTGGATTCCAAAACTTTTCATTCTAGTTGGAGGGAGTTGCTTAAATATTTATTATAACCTTGGGGCCAGCAGATGGCATAGTGGTTACATCACTGGACTCCCACATGTCCAACCACAGTTTGAGTCCCAACCTGGTGGCTTGAAACAGGTCAGGTGCAGGTGTGTGAGTGCCCAAAATCCCAAGAGGAGAGTAGAGGAGATGGGATTGCGATGTGGCCATTCCCACAGGGAGTGACTTCTCACTTTCTGTCTCTCTCTTTCTCTCCAGCGAGCACATGCATCCTATAGCAAAAGTCTCTCCCTAACAAAAGAAAATATTTACTAAACCTTAATAATCAAGTGTTTCTGTTTTAAAAATCTAAGCTGGGGACAATTTTCTTTTTGCTGTTCTGGTCTTAATTAGTACAATGTATATTGTCTAATATCTGCAATAATCTATGAGTCCCTAACATATATTCTCTAGTTTAAAAATAGACTACCAGGTGTCATGGTGGTTAAGGCCCTGGACTCTCACATGGCCAGCTGTGGTTTGAGTACTTGACCTAGTGGCTTGAAAATCATGCCAGGAACATGTACATGTATGCTCAAAATCCTAGGACAATGGAGGAGAAGGGATTGCAGCATGGCCATTCCCCTGAGGGGTGATGTCTCACTTTCCTTCTCACTGTCTTTGTCTAGTTCTCTCTGGCAAGTTTATGTGCTCTATGACCAAAAATAACCAAACTACTAAAGACTATGATAAAAACTTGTAATACCTCAGGCCCTTCTGTATCAATTTAGTAATTAAAAGGAATTTGATATACCTATCAATTTGATATATTTCTCTAAGTTTGATATAACTTTATCAATTTGAAATGTCATATACATAGCAGATTTATTTAGTAAAAACCACTGCATTATTTCCAAGCAGTAATGTTATTCTTTTCCTTAATGTAGAAATGCCTTCTTAATGGTTCCCTATTTGAGCTAATCATTTTGCCTTAAGAAGTACATATCATTACTTTGTTGATATTATTTGTCATTTTATTGCTAATTATAAAATACGAAAACAGCTTTTAAGTAACTAAATAGGTATATATGATTAAGTAATTATTTGGATACAAATTTTATGTTTCAAAGTGTATTCATTTTGATCTAATTAAGAGCAGTGCTTTTTGAAGTTGTATATTTTTAGGCACTAAGGGCTGGTTGATTAGTGACGAATTTGTGGGCAGGTTGCTAAATGAAGTGCACAGATCTCTAGAGTAAAAATAAACAACTAGAGTACAAAAAATTAGATTCAGTTTGGAATGTGTATTTGTTGATTAGAGTTTCTTTTAAAAGTATGTGAAAGTGGAGAGAAAACAAATCAATATATGTTTTCTTTTTGAATGAACAACAGAAAATCACGTTTTAATTAACTCTTGACTGATTTTGTTCACTTCCTTAGATTCAGAAATACCACAGTTCTTAAGTGATTCATTTCATCCTTGAGCTCACCATCCTGCCTGTCATTGGTTATTGTACTGTACTGTGCCAGCAAGTGGGCTGATTTGGATAATCCCCTGATATAATGTAGAAAAACCTTAATTTTTCTTATTTTCTATTTTCTCATCCATTACTAAATCTAAATTATAGAAAGCTATTTTATCATCTATATTTTATGAAAGAATGCTTCTTTTTTTTTTTTTTTTTTTTGGTCAGAATGCTTCTTTTTTTTTTTGAGAGGTTTTGCTATAGGGCACATGCACTCGCCAGACAGACAGAGAGACAGAAAGCAGGAAATCCCCCCCAAGGGGAGGTGGCCATGCCGCAATCCCTTCTCCTCCAGTCTCCTCTCGGGATCTTGGGCACGCACGCACACGCGCCTGCCGTGAGTTTTAAGCCACTGGGTCTGGGACTCGAACCGCGGTCGACTACGTGGGAGTCCAGCGACATAGCCATTACGCTAACTGCTGGCCCCCAGAATGCTTCTTGAAACGTAAAATTACACTAATCAAAAGTGGAACGTTAAGGAGGTCCCAGGCTTGCCTTTTCCTTATGTTGATGATGTTATAGGGCATACCTGCTCCCTTTTTGCATGCTATTTTCACTTGCCAGTTACTTAGTCTGTAACATCTGTTCAAATAGAACTTTCTGGATCCTCTTCAAGGAGATGAGTCTTTTGTGTGTTCTGTGCTTCTGCACTTTTCTTTCAGTAGAAATATATCTTGCTTTGTGGTGTACTATTTGCTCCTACTAGTTAATAACCCTTAAAGGTATGGATACACATGTGCGATTTATCTTCTGGTCCTTTGAATGTCTAGCACAGGGTCTTGACTTGAAGTGTAACACTAATGCTGCCTTATATCTGTAATGATTCTTTGCAGTTTAACAAATGCTTCTTGATCATATTTTATTTGAAATTTTAAACAACATTATGTAGCAGATGGAGAAATTCAGGAC